GGGGGGGATTTGAAAATGCTGCAATAAGAAAAAATTTTCATTTGGGTGTGAAGAGCAAAAAAACGTTCCGTGACTCAAAACTGAGCCGTCTGACACATTTTTTCAACACCAGATTTGTTTTTATATTTTTTTGAGGTGTCGAGGTGGGGCATGGAGCAATAAAGGTTAAGAACCACTAGTTTAAACAATAGGCTCACAAAGCAATAATTTACCACAAAAAATTATCCTTAAAGTTGTTTAAAGAAGTTTCTCAACTATTTCGATATCACGAACCTATTCGCTAGCTATCTAAATAAAATATAGCGGCGTTGCGAACCACTAACAACGTAAAATCATTAATATTTACATACGATTATTCTGTTAGTTTTTGTTGTTTTTGTGAAATTCCACGAACTGATGGCCGAGAGACACTGTTTGAGTTGTTTCCCTAATTACCGGTAGGGAATACGAGTTGTATCATTAATATACTAAATCACCAGGCCAATAACCTATTATATTGTGCTTAATAACTTATGAACCTTTTGGTTCCCATGTAAAAATAAAATAGTTCAAAATGGTTTGTTTGTTTGGAACTAAGCACAAAGCTACACGATGGGCTATCTATATTGAAACCCGGTTTCCTTTTGCGGTGAGCGGTATATATATAAGTAGTTCAGAGCTTTGACTCTGAGTGGAAGACAATTAACCTGTTTAAAGTCCATGAAATAATTTAAATTGATAGATTAACTTAAACTTTTCCTGTCATTAGGAACGGGTAATTTGCTTGTAATATATATAGACGTAAGCCTAACTTCTAAGGGAAGGATAAGTTCCTTAAGTTCAAGGTTAAGAATAGTTGGTAGTATAGATTGCCTTGATCAAAGACGCAATGGTGAAATACAGATTTATATTATTCACATATTAATTTTTTCCTAGAATTCGAAAATTGCGAAAGTGTAAAAATAAATAAAATTACTGTTGAGGAAAGCTTGTTTATGGATGAGCAGTGATAGATTTTGAAGAAATGAAGTGAGCAATCCGTCACGTTACTTTTGCGTTTTGGGGCGTAATGTTTCTTCGCCCATTTTGAATGCCCCCAAATGACTTACAACTCTAAGTTAGTCTTGTATATATATATAAGATGGTCATAACGTGACGGGACAACAGTGTAGTGAGTAACTGAACTGCAGTCAGTGAGTGTGTAATTGAACTCGAGCACGTGAGACGTTCGTTGAGAATTATGGCGCGACTGTTGAAATTAAGTGTATCGTAAAGTTGTATTTAATTTTAGTTAAAACTAACTAAAATTAAAAACAGTAGAGGCCGCAGCATTATTTGCATGGCTCTCAAATTTGTCGAAAGTCAGGACGTTGAATACATATTTATATCTTTAAAGACAACGATCAAGATTAACTAAAAGTGTAGTCCTTAGAACACAATTGATTCAATTTATATGTGAAGTAATACAATTATGTTATATTTATAAATTATTTTGAGGTTATAATGGTTATTCTTCCCTGAAATATAGCTCGGCCCTTAGACTTTTATAAATGGCCCTAACAGCAGTCTAACTCTTAGGATAAGAATATTTAGTCGAAATATTATAAAAAAATTTCTTTTTACAAATTTTGTATATTAATATCATTAACTACATATAGCTAAAATTGAAATGTACAATGTATATTTTATATTGGTCAATGAAGGACTGAACAAAACCTAAATGTCTTTTGAAAGTTGTATCTTAACTCAACAGTACATCTCTATTCACAACGTTAATGCATACATGATGATAAATATAAATATCACGAACAAAAAAGCTGAAAATAAATTAACATTTATCATTGAATCTCTCAAGACTTCTATAGTTAACTGCTATTACAAACTAATGAAAGAAGTATTCTTGATTTTATTTATTTGTTTTCTTATCTAGGCTCTTCGTTCGTTATTAAGGGAGTGATACACGAAAAATGTTCTACTATATCTTATCACATTGTTTTATTGATTCTCACATTCACTTCGTTTTACAATTAAAAATTCTATATTAAAATAGTGGCTCGCACAACTGCCTGAAATATATTTTTGAATTACTGATTTTTCCCCCATGGTTTTTAGGCTGAATGATAGTGACTTTCA